AGTAAGATTAGATCTCAATTACAGGAATAAAATAATTAAAAATTCAAACATATGGAGGCTAAATAACACGCTTCTGAATAACCAACACATCATAGAAGAAATCAAAAAAGAAATCAAAAAAGAAATCAAAATATGCATAGAAATGAATGAAAATGATAACACAACAACCCTAAACCTATGGGACACTGTAAAAGCAGTGCTAAGGGGAAGGTTAATAGCATTACAGGCTTACCTCAAGAAACAAGAAAAAAGTCAAATAAATAACCTAACTCTACACCTAAAGCAACTAGAGAAGGAAGAAATGAAGAACCCCAGGGTTAGCAAAAGGAAAGAAATCTTAAAAATTAGGGCAGAAATAAATGCAAAAGAAACTAAAGAGACCATAGCAAAAATCAACAAAGCTAAAAGCTGTTTTTTTTAAAAAATAAACAAAATTGACAAACCATTAGCAAGAATCATTAAGAAACAAAGAGAGAAGAACCAAATTAACAAAATTAGAAATGAGAATGGAGAGATCACAACAGACAACACTGAAATACAAAGTATCATAAGAGACTACTACCAGCAGCTCTATGCCAATAAAATGGACAACTTGGAAGAAATGGACAAATTCTTAGAAAAGTATAACTTTCCAAAGCTGAACCAGGAAGAAATAGAAGATCTTAACAGACCCATCACAAGCAAGGAAATCGAAACTGTAATCAGAAATCTTCCAGCAAACAAAAGCCCAGGACCAGATGGCTTCACAGCTGAATTCTACCAAAAATTTAGAGAAGAGCTAACACCTATCCTCCTCAAATTCTTCCAGAAAATTGCAGAAGAAGGCAAACTTCCAAACTCATTCTATGAGGGCACCATCACCCTAATTCCAAAACCAGACAAAGATGCCACAAAAAAAGAAAACTACAGGCCAATATCACTGATGAACATAGATACAAAAATTCTTAACAAAATTCTAGCAAACAGAATCCAAGAACATATTAAAAAATCATACATCATGACTTAGTGGGCTTTATCCCAGGAATGCAAGGATTCTTTAATATCTGAAAATCAATCAATGTAATACACCATATTAACAAATTGAAAGATAAAAACCATATGATTATCTCAATAGATGCAGAGAAAGCCTTTGACAAAATTCAACACCCATTTATGATTAAAACTCTGCAGAAAGCAGGAATAGAAGGAACATACCTCAACATAATAAAAGCTATATATGACAAACCCACAGTAAGCATCACCCTCAATGGTGAAAAATTGAAAGCATTTCCCCTAAAATCAGAAACAAGACAAGGGTGCCCACTCTCACCACTACTATTCAACATAGTTTTGGAATTGTTGGCCACAGCAATCAGAACATAAAAAGAAGTAAAAGGAATCCAGATAGGAAAAGAAGAAGTGAAACTCTCACAGTTTGCAGACGACATGATCCTCTACATAGAAAATCTTAAAGACTCTACTAGGAAATTACTAGAGCTAATCAACGAATATAGTAAAGTTGCAGGATATAAAAGTAACACACAGAAATCCCTTGCATTCCTATACACTATCAATGAAAAAACAGAAAGAGAAATTAAGGAAACAATACCATTCACCATTGCAACAAAAAGAATAAAATACTTAGGAGTATATCTACCTAAAGAAACAAAAGGCCTATACATAGAAAACTATAAAACACTGATGAAAGCAATCAAAGAGGACACAAACAGATGGAGAAATATACCGTGTTCATGGATTGGAAGACTCAATTTTGTGAAAATGACTATACTGCACAAAGCAATCTATAGATTCAATGCAATCCCTATCAAGCTACCAATGGTATTCTTCACAGAACTAGAACAAATAATTTCATAATTTGTATGGAAATACAAAAAACCTCAAATAGCCAAAGTAATCTTGAGAAAGAAGGGAACTGGAGGAATCAACCTGCCTGACTTCAGACTATACTACAAAGCCACAGTCATCAAGACAGTATGGTACTGGCACAAAGACAGAAATGTAGATCAATGGAACAGAATAGAAAGCCCAGAGATAAATCCACGAACCTATGGACACCTTTTCTTCAACAAAGGAGTCAAGAATATACAATGGAAAAAAGACAACCTCTTTAACAAGTGGTGCTGGGAAAACTGGTCATCCACTTGTAAAAGAATGAAACTAGAACACTTTCTAACACCATACACAAAAATAAACTCAAAATGGATTAAAGATCTAAATGTCAGACAAGAAACTATAAAACTCCTAGAGGAGAACATAGGCAAAACACTCTCCGACATAAATCACAGCAGGATCCTCTATGACCCACCTCCCAGAATATTGGAAATAAAAGCAAAAGTAAACAAATGGGACCTAATGAAACTTAAAAGCTTTTGCACATCAAAGGAAACTATAAGTAAGGTGCAAAGACAACCTTCAGAATGGGTTAAAGTAACAGCAAATGAAGCAACAGACAAAGGATTAATCTCAAAAATATGCAAGCAACTCCTGCAGCTCAATTCCAGAAAAATAAATGATACAATCAAAAGACGGGCCAAAGAACTAAACAGACATTTCTCCAAAGAAGACATACAGATGGCTAACAAACACATGAAAAGATGCTCAACATCACTCATTATCAGAGAAATGCAAATCAAAACCACAATTAGATAACATTACACACCAGTCAGGATGGCTGCTATGCAAAAGTCTACAAGCAATAAATGCTGGAGAGGGTGTGGAGAAAAGGGAACCCTCTTACACTGTTGGTGGGAATGCAAACCAGTACAGCCACTCTGGAGAACAGTGTGGAGATTTCTTAAAAACCTGGAAATAGAACTGCCATATGACCCAGCAATCCCACTTCTGTGCATACACACCAAGGAAATCAGATTGGAAAGAGATACGTGCACCCCATTGCTCATCGCAGCACTGTTTATCATAGCCAGGACATGGAAACAACCCAGATGCCCATCAGCAGATGAATGGATAAGGAAGCAGTGGTACATATACACCATGGAATATTACTCAGCCATTAAAAAGAATTCATTTGAATCAGTTCTAATGAGATGGATGAAACTGGAGCCCATGATTCAGAGTGAAGTAAGCCAGAAAAATACAGACCAATACAGTATACTAACACATATATATGGAATTTAGAAAGATGGTAATGATAACCCTATATGCAAAACAGAAAAAGAGACACAGATGTACAGAACAGCCTTTTGGACTCTGTGGGAGAAGGGCAGGGTGGGATGTTTCGAGAGAACAGCATCGAAACATGTATATTATCAAGGGTGAAACAGATCACCAGCCCAGGTGGGATGCATGAGACAAGGCTGGTGTACCGGGAAGACCCAGAGGGATCGGGTAGAGAGTGAGGTGGGAGGGGGGATCAGGATGGAGAATATATGTAAATCCATAGCTGATTCATGTCAATGTAGGACAAAAACCAGTACAATATTGTAAAGTAATTGGCCTTGAACTAATAAAAAAATAAATGGGAAAAAAGAGTTCAAAAAGAATAGTTTAAAATATGATGAAGTATTGAGTTATAATGCAAACCATAGAAAATTACAATGAATTGGAATTGTGGAGTACATTCTCTTTGTAATGCACTATAAGAAGACAGAAATTAATTGAAAGGAAAGGAATTTGAAAATCACCAGCTACATGAAAGTCAGCTACATACTTATAGAAAAAACAAAACAAAGAAGTCAATGCACCCACATGGAAACACAAGGGATGTTAAATTTAATAAATCTTACCATGAGCATTAACACTCAAATTACTTGAGTTAGAGAAAGGAGTCATCTTAGTTCTGTGAACTGTTGAACATATACCTCTTATTTTGGTGCTAGGAGCTAGAGACATGTCCCACTACCAGATCTGGATGCCTGCACTTTAATCACCATGGTTAAAAGCAAGTACTTGAACAGGAAAAAAAAAAATAGGGAAATCATAACAGCTCCTTCCTGCTCAATCTCCAGGGTGAAAAATCACAGGAAGGCTGTTTTTGCTTCAACCCTGGTCACCCTGCCACACTTTGGGCCGATCAGTTTGGCTCATGAACTGCCTCATTGGCTGCTACTATGGGCACTGTGGCTACAGCTTCTGTCAGTGGATGAGCCCATCATCCATGCAAAATTGCACTTCAGCGAACATTTCTATATAAAAACTGAAAAGTTATAGGCTGCAATAAAATAGACTCAGAAATCTGAATTAGAATAATTTTGGAAGGTATTGTGGTTGACTCTAGAAAATTCAATTTATCTAATTTTACACTACGTTTGGGTCTTATTTTATGTATTTTACTGAATTCAAATTTGAGGTATGTTGAAGGAGTAGAATGGGTGTGATTTTTGTATCTGCTATTGCACATTATCAAATGCTATATTCCACATAAAAATCTCTGAATATACATTTAAGGGCATGACAAAAAGGCCAACGAAACTTTTTTTGGTAAGAATTTTGATCAGAAAAATCCCTAAAATGGCTGACAGAGAAACCACGAATATAAATGACCATTTAGGAAAGTGACAAGATGCAACACAGGTAAGAAAATTTCACAATTTTCCATCTAACAAATGATATGACAGACACGTATTCTAGCAGAGTTGGTGAGGTTTGTCTTTCTCAGGTTAGAAAAGTTATAAACATGGACAATAGGGCAGTGGTAGAGAAATCAGAGTGGATGTGACTGTTCAGCACTACAGGTCTTTTCCTGTCAAGTGAGTGGCTCTGAAAAGAGCCTTTAGTTTGCGATGTTCCAGTGGTCAAGGGTCAGCTTATCTACAGGTGGCGTATCTAATGACCACCCTGGTGGCCTCTGACATGGCATGCTTGCCTATCTCTCCAGCCAGCAGCAAGCGCTCTGAGGTCTGGATCTCTCTGGAAGTGATGGTGCAGCGCTTGTTGGAGCCAGCGAAGAGCCCGGTCTCTTTGATGATGCCCTCAAACATATCCATCACGAAGGAATTCATGACGTTCATGGCCTCCTGTGAGAGACTCAAGCCCATGTGGACTTACTTCACAATCCTGGGGAAATAGCTGGTGAAGCTCTCAACGTTGTTGGAGCTGCAGCAGTGGCTGCAGTCACAGCGGCCCTTTGTTGTCTTCTGCTTTGCTTTCTTTGGCTGTGCTTCAGAGGGCTCGGGTTTGGAGGGCTTGATTTTGGGGAACTCGATTTCTGGGAGCATGGCTTCTGAGGACTCCATTTCAGAGGACTGTGTTTCAGAGGACTCCATTTTGGAGGACTCGGTTTTGGAGCGCTCAGTTTCTTCAGTGCCCAGGTCTTCCTCAAGACAGCTCAGATGATGGCTCATCCATTTGGGATTCATTTTCCCCACAGCTCAGAGGGAAGTACAGGGTTACTTCTGAGGGCAGGTGCCTGGCTTTATAATCCCTGCCTGTCCTCATGTCTTGGGCAGGATCCATATCTTATTGGATAAAATTCAAGGCAGGAAGGCCTGTCACTCAGTCACCCCATGTCACCTGTCACTGAATGCCCCTCCCCCAATGACCCCCGGTGGATCAATCACAGTGTGAATCTTTTAACTTTCTGTGATCTCAGCCAGAAAATCTTTGAACTATGTGGCATGCAGAAAAGGGTTTCCCAGGTGGGGCTAGTGTTAAAGAATTTGCCTGCCAGTGCAGGATATGTAAGAGATGTGGGTTCGATCCCTGGGTCCAGAAGATCCCCTGAAGGAGGCCACAACACCCCACTCCAGTATTCCTGAATGGAGAATCCCATGGACAGAGGAGCCTGGCAGGTGTTGAACACTACTGAAGCGAATTAGCTCACACGCCATGTAGGAAAAGACCATCCACTTGCTTTAGCTGATTTATGGCTACTATTCCTGCTTGTGAACTTTGAAATATGTCAGGGAAGTCACCTTAATTGGAAAAAAAAAATCAGTTTGAGCTTTCTGAGAGAGTCTGACTGACCTCCATAACTCAAGTGCTTGCTGTCATCAGAGTAACTCTGGCCACTTGGCAGCCATTTTACCCCACTACAGGATCTTATTTTTCCATTTCTGAGCCACCATAGCTTGAGCAGGAACTCTCTGACATGTTCAGCTGAGTGTTTCTCAAAATCATAGGAATGTAACTGACCAGCTAGTACCTATAGTAGAAAAGTAGAAATAGAAAAACCAAATTCTCCAAAGATGTAACAAAAATAGAAGTGGAATACTTACAAAATTATTTAATATGCTTAAATATTTACCAAATTAAATTATTTTGACATTCCTTTGGTCCCCCAGATACCTAATGCTTGATTTGGTGACTCTATATTAGCACAGTTAGTTGAAATAGTGAATACTCCTATTTGCTGAGAAAATTCCAGAGTAGAGGAAAATAATCAATAAAAGGAAGAGATTATTAAATTAGAAACATATTCATTTCAAAAATCAATGATAATACTAGCAAAAGTATTTTTAATATATTCATAACTCAAGGCCTTGCCTCCATTAGAGTGACTCTGGCCACCACAGGCCATTTTACTCCAACACAGAATCTTCTCTCTCCATGGCTGAGCCTCTGTGGCTTCAGCTGAATTCTCTGACATGGTTTTCAGAGTTCTCCTGGAAATCAGAAACATAAATGACCATTTACTGCTTCCAGTTTTGTTCAAAACTGTGTTAATCAGAAAAAGTTGAAATCTCAAAGGCACATTCTCCAAAAACAGAACACAAACAGAAAATGGAAATGCTTATAAAATTAATAAAAGAAATAATTAAATATTTATCAAATTTAAAATTGTTATTTGACATTACATAGGTCCTCAAAATGCCCTACATTCTTTTATTGGTGAGCAAATATAAGAGCTGTTGATTGAAAATAATGATGATCCTAATTCTCTAAGAAAACTACATAGGAAGTGTGTAATAAGTAAATGGGAAATTCTTTAAAATTTATAGCATATTTCCTTCCAGAATATATGACAGGGCTTCCCTGGTGGCTCAGTGGTAAATAATCCACCTGACAATGCAGGGGACACCAGTTTGATCCCTGATCTGGGATCTTAGTTGCTGCGGAGCAACTAAGCACCTGTGCCACAGCTACTGAGCCTGTGGTCTAGAGCCCCAGAGCCACAACTACTGAAGCCCACATGCCCCAAAGCCCGTGCTCTGCAACAAGAGAGTACCTCTCCCTCACCACAACTAGAAAAAAGCTCACGTGCTTCAATGAAAATACAGTGCAGCCAAAAATAAATAAATAAAGCATTATTTTTTAAAAAAAAACATTATACAGAGTGAAGTAAGCCAGAAAGATAAAGACCATTACAGTATACTAACACATATATATGGAATTTAGAAAGATGGTAATGATAACCCTATATGCAAAATAGAAAAAGAGACTCAGATGTATAAAACAGACTTGTGGACTCTGTGGGAGGAGGCGAGGGTGGGATGTTTCAAGAGAATAGCATCGAAACATGTATATTATCTAGGGTGAAACAGATCACCAGCCCAGGTTGGGTGCATGAGACAAGTGCTCGGACTTGGTGCACTGGGAAGACCCAGAGGGATAGGGTGGAGAGGGAGGTGGGAGGGGGGACCGGGATGGGGAATACATGTAAATCCATGGCTAATTCATTTCAATGTATGACAAAAACCACTGCAATGATGTAAAGTAATTAGCCTCCAACTAATAAAAATAAATGGAAAAAAAAGAATACATGACAAAAGCATTTATTAAATGTATTTCCCCACTAATAAATTGCAAACTTTGAATCAAAAAAGGAATTAAGAGAAATGGAAAAATGGGGATTCATCAGTATGGTTTCATCTGAAATGGTTAAGATTTCATAGGTGTTTCCATTTGGACATATTAAGAACTACTAACTCTATTTCCTCATAAAATGATTCCAGTTATGAAGGGGAATAAACTTTGTAACAAGAAATGTAATATGGTGATAAAAGGAGTGAAGAAAGATTGTTACTCCTGATTTCTGAAGAATCACATTTACCAATGAAAACACAGAAATCCCTCTTGTGTTAGTAGCCAAATCTTTCCCCTTTGTGTGTGTGTGGGAGAAAAACACATATGCTACAATTTCTGAATTCAAATCATTGTTGTTGTTAGTCTAGTCCCACCCTTTGCAATCCCATGGACTGCAGCAAGTTAGGCTTCCTGCAGTTTGCTCAAATTCATGCCCATTGAGTCGATGATGCCATCCAACCATCTCATCCTCTGTTGCTCCCTTCCCACCTGCTCTCAATCTTTCCCAATGTCAGGTTCTTTTCCAATGAGTCAGCTCTTCCCATCAGGTGTCCAAAGTATCGGAGCTTCAGCTTCAGCATCTGTCCTTTCAATGAACATTCTGGGTTGATTTCCTTTAGGATTGACTGATTTGATCTCTTTGCTGTCCAAGGGACTTTCAAGAGTCTTTTCCAGCAACACAGTTCTAAAGCATCAATTCTTCGGTGCTCAGCCTTCTTTATGCTCCAGCTCTCATATTCTTGCCTGGGAAATCTTATGGAGAGAGGAGCCTGGCAGGGTACAGGCCATAGGTTCTCAAAGAATCAGACAAGACTGAAGCAACATGCATGCAAGTTCACATCCATACATGACTACTGGAAAAACCATAGTTTTGACTATACAGACCTTTGTCGGCAAAATGATGTCTCTATTTTTAAAAAAGCTGTCTAGGTTTGTCATAGCTTTTCTTCCAAGCAACAAACATCCTTTAATTTCATGGCTGCAGTCACTGTCCACAGTGATTTTGGAGCCCAAGGAAATAAAGCCTGTCACTGTTTCCATTGTTTCCCCATCAGTTTGCCATGAAGTGATGGGACTGGATGCCATGATCTTTGTTTTTTAATATTGAGGTTTTTTTAAAAATTTTTTAAAATATTATATATTTTTGTATTGAAGGATAATTGCTTTACAGAATTTTGTTGTTTTCTGTCAAACCTCAACATGAATCAACCGTAGTACGTGTGTATATATATACATATCCCCTCCCTCCCGAATTACCCTCCCACCTCCCTCCCCACCCCACCCCTTCAGGTTGACACAGAGCCCCTGTTTGAGTTTCCTGAGCCATACAGCAAATTCCCATCAGCCATCTATTTTTCACATGGTAATGTAAGTTTCCATGTTACTTGTTCCATACAGCCCACCCTCTCCTCCCCATCCCCATGTCCATAAGTCTCTTCTCTATGTCTGTTTCTCCATTGCTGACCTGTGAATAAATTCTTCAGTACCATTTTTCTAGATTCTGTATATATGCACTAGAATATGATATTTATCTTTCTCTTTCTGACTTACTTCACTCTATAATAGATTCTAAGTTCATCCACCTCATCAGAACTGACTCAAATGCATTCCTTTTAATGGCTGAGTAATATTTCATTGTGTATATGTACCATAACTTCTTTATCCATTCACCTGTCGATGGACATCTAGGTTGCTTCCATGTTCTAGCTATTGTAAATAGTGCTTCAATGAACAATGGGATACATATGTCTTTTTCAATTTTGGTTTCCTCGGGATATATGCCTAGGAATGGGATTGCTAGGTCATATTGTGGTTTTATTCCTAGTTTTTTTTTTTTAAGGAATCTCCATACCATCTTCCACTGTAGCCGTATCAATTTATATTCTCACCAACAATGCAAGAGCATTCCCTTTTCTCCACACCCTCTCCAGCATTTATTGTATGTAGATTTTTTGATGATAGCCATTCTGACTGGTGTGAGGTGATATCTCTTAGTAGTTTTGATTTGCATTTCTCTAATAATGAGCGATGTTGGGCATCTTTTCATATGTTTGTTGGCCATCTGTATGTCTTCTTTGGAGAAACGTCTGTTTAGGTCTTTTTCCCACTTTTTGACTGGTTTCCCCCACCCCCCCACCCCAGTATTGAGTTGTATGAGATGCTTGTATATTTTGGAAATTAATCCTTTGTCAGTTGTTTCATTTGCTATTGTTTTCCCCCATTCTGAGGGTTGTCTTTTCATCTTGCTTATAGTTTCCTTTGCTGTGCAAAAACTTTTAAGTTTGATCAGGTCCCACTTGTTTACTTTTGTTTTTATTTCCATTACTCTAGGAGGTGAGTCATAGAGGATCTTGCTTTGATTTATGTTATTGAGTGTCCTGCCTATGTTTTCCTCTAAAAGTTTTGTACTTTCCAATCTTATATTTAGGTCTTTAATCCATTTTGAGTTTATCTTTGTGTATGTGTATGGTGTTAGGAATTGTTTTAATTTCATTCTTTTACATGTAGCTGTTCAGTTTTCCTGGCACCGTTTATTGAAGAGGCTGTCTTTGCCCCATTGTATATTCTTAGTCAACAATAAGGTACCCATAGGTGCATGGGTTTATTTTTGGCT